CCCCCCCGCGTCCCCACCCCAAACCCAGCCCTGGCCCGAACCCGGGGCGAACAGGTCTCACAAGCAGCCGGGTGGCCCCGGCCTGGGAGCCGGCGCCGCCGTCCCGAAAGCCACAGCACAGCCAGGCAAAGCTGCGCGGACCAACTGAGCGGCGACGGCGGCGAGTCGGAAGCGGGAGGCCCGCAAAGTTCCAAACTCAGGTCCTCCGCCTGCGCGGCCTCCCGCCATCATTCTCTTCCCGCTCGGGATCGCGCTCCGCTGCCAGCCACACGCCACTCCTCTTCCTCCCCGTAAAACAAAGCTGTTAAAATCGGGGGCCTTGGGACCTGAGAGACCTACGGTGGAGGCCAGGCCAGGTCACGGACGAGCCGCGCGGCCTCGCGTAAGTGACTTGGCCTCCGTCGCGCCTCAGTTTTCCTTGCTCGTAAAGTGGGTCTGACAACAGTAAGCACCTCGGAGGACTGCCGGAGAGGCTAAGTAGAATTGGGCACACAACGCGCTTTGTGAAGTCCTGGCACATTTCCCTAGGACGTTACCGTGCGGTGGTTAGTACTACTACTCTCCGGGGGCTACTTCGCCGCCTCACAACCCGCCCCTTATACATGCCCCACTCCCCTCCTCCCACAGGCCCCCGATGGCCTCCTACACATTTTCGTCTCACGCGCCTCTCTGCGGGACGCGCGGGCCCGCTTACCCGCAGGGCCGGCGAAGCACGGCGGGCGGGCGGGCTGACTCCCCGACGACGACGGCGGCGGCCCCTGACCCGGAGCTCTCCTCCCTCTGCCCCGGATCTGCTCCTAGAACCGAGCGGGCCAGTGAGATGGGCGCCTCGTGCCCAGAGCGGCCCTATGTACCGCCCACCAAACAGCCGGGTCGCGCCACTCTACCCACCCGATCCTCCCGACTCGCCTGTTCTTAGCGTCACTCCAGGCGCGTGCGCGCGCCGGCTCATGCCCGCACCCGCCTCTGTGCGCGCCCCGGCGACTCCGTGCGTGAACAAGCTGCCCGGTAACGCACAGGACGCAACGCGCAAGCGCAGAACCAAGAGGGCGCCGCGAGAAAGGTGGACCAGGGCGGCCTCGAAGGACGCATGCGCAAACCTGCCAGCCCCAGGCCTTCCGGCGACTAGCTGGGTTGGCTCGATTCAATCGCGATCCCTACTCCTCCTCCATCTTGGCTCTTCCGCGCGCCAGAAAAGGGGGTGTGGCCTGGTGGTGGCCCCTCCCCCCGTGGGCGGAGCAGAGGCAGAGGAGAGGATGTGGCTTGTCTGTCCAGATCCGCAAATTACGACGCCCTCTCCTCGCTGCTGGGCGGGACCGTAGCCATTGCTGACAGGAGGGCACTTAGGGGAGGTTGACAAGAGAGACAGGCCGACCCCTCCTTCTGTGCTAATGCTGCACGTAACTGGCGGGGTCCTTTCTAGAAAACAATGGGGGGCCACGCCCCGAGCTCGTCGAGTGACGTCCGCCAGGGCCCGCCTCTCTCCCCCCGCCCCACAGAGCGTTGCCGTGGCAACCGGCCCGCCGAGGCCGGTCCCCCTTCCCGCGTCACCGGGCGTTGCCGTGGCAACCGGCCTGCGCCGGCCTGCGGGCGTTACCAAGAGGATGCTCAGGGCGTCCCCGGCCGTCGGCACGGAGCCCCGACGGCGCCTCTCCC